ATACATACATACATTGTACACACAAACTAATTTTTTTTTAACCTTTACTAATTTCAGGTCTCTGTCAGTGGAATTGAATGGGATTATATTGCCACACAGGGACCATTACAAAATACCTGTCAGGATTTTTGGCAGATGGTATGGGAACAGGGAATTGCAATTATAGCAATGGTGACAGCAGAAGAGGTAAGTACTCATTTCCCTTAATTGATTTTCTCAGCCTCCGAGGAATGGTTAATTATGTAGAATCTTGACCTTTAGAGAAAAAGGCAGAGTAAGATTGCAGTTCTGAATTTCACACGTGCGGTCTCTATGAAAGGACATTTGTAGCTGGGTCTTGTGTTGTTTAACTGTATTTGCCTTTAACAGGAGGGTGGAAGGGAGAAGAGCTTCAGGTATTGGCCACGACTTGGTTCCAGGCACAACACTGTCACCTATGGAAGGTTTAAGATCACAACCCGGTTTCGCACAGACTCTGGGTGCTTTGCCACCACAGGCTTGAAGATGAAGCACCTGCTCACGGGGCAGGAAAGGACTGTGTGGCATCTCCAGTACACAGACTGGCCTGAGCATGGCTGTCCAGAAGACCTCAAAGGATTTTTGTGTAAGTGTCTTTGTTCCCAGGGCAGCCTCCTCTGGAGCTGTTATTCAGAGAGAAAGCCTTACGTTTCTGAAATATTTCCTTTACATTGTCTTATATGAGCTTTGTACTTGCTTTAAAATAAAGAATATAAGTGTTTTGGGGAAGCTTAACAGAAGAAGTTTTTAAAGTATAATTTGGTAGCAAGCAGAATGCATAACTGGCTCTCAGAAAGCATCTCCTTCACTTCATTTGTAGGTGGTAAAGTGGAAGCTCAGGTTAGAGCTGTCACTAACAACACACTGTCAGTTAGTGGTTGGGATTAGTTAGGTGGCACACAGTGCTATTTATCTGCAGTCCCCTCAGTCAGTGGAGATAAGATGAAAATGGAGTTGCTGATTTGATATGCCTTAATCCCTGAGTATTTTTCTATTTCATTGATTTTTCACAGCATACCTTGAAGAGATCCAGTCTGTTCGACGCCATACAAATAGTACAAGTGAACCCAAAAGCCCCAACCCTCCATTGTTGGTCCATTGCAGTGCTGGAGTAGGAAGGACTGGCGTTGTTATTTTGTCAGAGATCATGATTGCCTGTCTGGAACACAATGAGGTGATAACCTTTATGCTAAACATGACCTTTTTTGTGTGTTGGGGTCAGAGTAATGGGCTAGGAATAAGAATGGGGAACAGAGGGACATAGTGACCTAACAGCTTTTTTGGAACACATTTCCTTAGACTGTGGTAGCCTCAAGATATTAACTGTTCCCTGCAAAAAGCTGTGTCTCCTTGGAGATTCTCAGTACCTCTTAGCATATTAAAGACTATGAGAAGTCATACAATAAATAAAGCTGTTTAATTTTGTTTTATACAGTGTTTTTCAAATTTGATCTCAAAACCCTTTTTCCTGCTCAAAAAGGACAAAAAAAACCCCCCAAAAAATCCCTTTTTCCTGGAACACCTATGAACCTTTCCCACAGAGCCCTGTGTGGGAAATGTTGAGCTAGATACTGATAGTGCTTAGCACATTGTTTTTGTTGAGTCTTGGTATTGCATGAGATACAGTAATTTATGTCCAACCAGACCAAGTCAGTGAGCTACACTGAGGGAATGTTGAAGAGGCGGA